ATATTACAAGTTGAATGATTAAAAAAATTCTTCCCTCCTCTTTCATTCCCCTCAAATTAAATGTAGTATTAAGATTTTGAGTTCGTAAACTTAAAATCTATATATGGCTTTTGTCCCATCATCCCTCTCGTCGGTTCTTTTGTTTTTGTGTTAGTTTTTTCTAGTTTTCAAAAGACTCATAAAGTTTTAATTATTTTACAATTAAGTCCTCAAAGGTTACAAAGGACTGTAATACCAACTATGGTAGTACTACTAAATCTAAATTAGCTTAATTAGTAACTCAAATGAAGGAAAACTTGCCAAAATAAAATTTATTTAAGAGGAGTGGGTCTCATTTCTCCCATGTTGGCTTAAATACTAAGTAATTTTGTCGAAACAAACAAGCAAAAGTCTAATTTTTTTAATTTTCACTTTTTTATATTTTATAAAAATGAATTTTTTAACAATAAAGAATGGTGAAAACTTCAGTTTTTTGTCGCTGGAGAGACCAAAACAAAGCCAAAAAAATAAGTTTAAAAACAATTTTGGTAGCCAATTAAGAAGTTCAGAGACGAAGGTATATTATTGTTTGAATTATATCTTTGCAAATTCGGCTAAATGAAGGTGTATTATTGTTTTTTGTTTCATCGAGAGCTGTATGATTGTTCTCTAAGCTGCATTATTGTTGGACGGGTGTACTGTGTGCATACATGTGTCTCGATCCAAAACTCTCCTACTATATAATTATTATAAAGGACGAAAAGTCCTTAATAGTGGTACCATTTACAAAATAGTTTTTTTTTTCACAATTTTAAATTTCTCAAATTTCCGGCTAACTCTACAAATATCTAATGCAATTAAGGGGGTATAGTCTATTTCTGGGCATGATTATGGCTATACAAACATTTATTATGGTCATATAAAAATTATGCATATATTTCATTTAATTGTCAGAAATAATTAATTTCTATAATTATTAATTGATAATTTAATAAAATAATTAATATTTATTACTTGATAATTTAAAATTAACCTATATACAATTATTTCTAAATATTTTAATTAATTATGAACTAATAAAATTGATCTTATATAAATTTACAATATATTTGCGTAATCAAAACCCTAACCAGGAAGAAGGACTATTGTCCTGTCACGAAGAAAATGAACGTGCGTTACGTGCCTGAAGAAAAACGTGTCAAAGAAAGTTTATGAAGATTATTGTTGTTTTCTTTTATCAGCATCATGAAAATTATTATTGCTATTTTTTTTCCTTTAGTGTTTGTTTAAATGAAAATTAGTAAAGAGAAGAAAAGGGAGGGCAGTGAAGTGAAGAAAAAAAAAAGAATTAATGTTAATTTTATTTAAATAAATAAAAGTGGGAGAGAGAAAAAGATAATATTTTTATTTAATTAAATAATTTAAAAAATAAAATAAAATACTTAAAATTTATTAATTAAAAAAATTGATATAAAATATTTTTATATATTTATTTAACTAATTTTTACATACTATATGTAATTATATTTATAATTATATTTTTAAATTTATCTAATTTTAATTTTATATTAAAAAATAATAATTTTTAATAAATATATTATATAATATATTAAATTAAAATATATACCATTCACTTTTCTTTAAAAAAGCAAAAAAAATTCAGCTAGGTGCTCATTGGCTTAACACAGATTGAATGCTAGCACCAGCCATGTGCTTGCAATGATGGTGAGTAAATGCTCTTATTAAACACTATTATATTATGTTAACGAAAAAGTATGCTTTGCAATGCTGAGCCTAAAACATAAATTATTGAATGACGAGGGACCTACAGAATACCAGAATCTGATCTCAAAACTCAAAACCTCACAGATAAACAAAACCACACAGACTGGAACAAACATTGCAATCCTATCAACACAATTTGCTAACAACATCAAATAATTTTTGCGAATCTTTACCTTTAGTTTTTCCAAGTATATATATAAGAGCACAGGCGCGCCCTTGTGCCAGCTAAAAAATTCTAGGATCATCTCATGAGCCTCTAGGGAAAATAATTTAGTTAAAACTTTATTTTGATCTTTATATTTTAATAAAAAAAAATTTTAGTTCTTATAAAAATTTATTTTTAGATCTTAAAATTTAAAATTTTTTCTTTTTTAGTCCTTTTATTATTTTTTGCATATATGACATATTAAATAACAGAAATTTTAAAGTAAAGAGATTAAAAAAAATTTAAAAAATTCTTTTTAGTTTTTTTATTTAAAAAAAAGTCTTTTTTTTTTGTCTCTATTTTAAAAAATTCCTTTGTAGTCCATTTGTTTTAAAATTTTCAATATTTAACGTAATATTTATGTAAAAGATAACAAAGGGATTAAGAAAATGTTAGATTTTAAACTTTAAAGATTAAAAAGAGATTTTTTTAAGTGAAAAAAAGAAAAAAAGCTTTTATTAAAGTAAAGGTAGGAAAAAAAATTTTAACCAAATAATTTCGATCTAGTGCAACCTGTCGGCTTGTTTGGAGGGTTGGACAAATCATAGGATTGGATGAAAAAATATCTTGTCCAACTTAATTTCATATTTGAAGAGTACTTAAGATAAGATAAACAATATCCAATAATTTATCCAATCCCATCCTCAAGAAATAAATTTAATCCCACCATATTCATGGGATACGAATGGATTGGATGCAATTTACCAACTCTACCCCTTTATTCCCTCTATTTTCTTCCTAATGGCTTGCTTCTCCTTTTCTTAACTTTGGTTTGAGAAAGTGGAGCTTTGGTTAGGTCGTCTATATTTTTTACGGCTTCATAGATCTATTGTAAGGAAAACAAAGTCTCTCCGATCATAAAAAAATCGACTGTAAAATCCGATCATCTTTTTTGCCGGCATGAAGGTCCGATGGCATCATTAGCAAAAATTGGAAGATTCTCTATTAGTAACTTCGCATATTGCTCCCCTACTTGTTCATCCTAATTCAACCTATCTTGTGTTAAAATAACCAAAGAACCCAATGGAAAATCAAGTCAAATACTAAAGCCTGTGACTGAAAAAAGGCACCCTAGTCCTGTTGAAGAAGACCAAAAATAGAAAAGATGAAGGGGGGTTTCGGGTTTCTACTTGTTCCCAAGAAAATAAAATTAAAAGAAAGAAAAATATTTAATAATAATTGATAAATTAAATAATTAAATAAGGAAACAGATTTTGTTTAGTTAATTAGTGAAAATTAATTTTGTTAATAAATGAAATTAATGAAAATTAGTTTTATTAATAAATGAGATTATATTATTGTTTGAATTATTTTAAAATAATTCAATTTCCTTGATTTTTGCATTTATAAAAAATAAAATTGCAATTTTAAAAAATTTTAGAATTATTGTTATATTACATTGTAAGGGCAGCTTTGTCCATACATATATATTTATATCCAATCCTAATGTACCCTAAATATAAGATTAAATATTATATAATTAATATTAGAGATTAATGCATATCAGTTTTAACTCTTAAAAAATTAAAATCTCAACTTATATTTAGAAATTAAAATTTTAATTCAAAATTCAAAAGTAAATAAGTTTTTAAATCTAAATATTAAT